TGATCTCCAAGCATGCGCAATTCAAGCGAAGGTCTAATAGGATCGCTCGTTTCCCGATCGTAGGACAAGGGGAATGAAGACTGCATGTGAGATTGAGAGTCCGAATGAAGGTCGACTAGCGCCTAGTGTGTAACATGCCTTATCGCAGACATTTCGCATCTGGCCGCTTAGGTTTGATTGACGCTGAATTAAGTACTGGAAGAAACGCTTTCAGGAGTGAACAGCAATTCTGTAATCTGATAAAATTGTGTTCTAAAATCTCTTTCAAGTGTCCTCTCAATACAGGTTTCATGTAACTTAGGGTTTAATTTTGGTGTCCAAGTCCTTTGATTAGGGATATACGCTGATTGCAGGTTCGATTTACAGTACATATGGGAAGAAAATGTTATGACTTAAGCTGGTTTCCGCTTGATACAATGTGTCTACTCAATACAGGTTTCCTCTGTACAGTCCAACTAGTGCGAGGTCTCGAAATAGAAGGAAAGCAACTGCATGGTCAACAGCAACAATAATAATTATTGATCTGATCATTTCAGCACGAACTGAATTCAGCACGAGTACAAGAAATATATCGCTCTGTATTTTTTTTTTAAAGTTATTCAGCTAAGATGTAAGATCCTAAAAGAAGCAAAGAAAGAAAGAAACAATAACAAAAAATGCCTAGCTGTATCAACTAGTCTTAGTAAGGGGAAGGACATCAGGAGCCTTTCGCTGGGAGCGTAGAAGTAGCCTATATCTCTCTCACAGCGTTTTCAGTGACCAATTTATGTTTAGACTGAGTTTCCCGCGAATATCCCCCAGGAGCGCCGATTAGCAGCCACAAGTATCTGCACGTGCAGAGCCATTGTTTTTGCTGATTAAACCCATTGGTTTGTGGCGCTCTCCCTTTTTCGCGGGAAAAGACTGTCTAAAAATAAATGGGCTGCAAAAATTCTATGACACAGGCTTAGTATGGGACTTGTACTTCCCTAGTGATGGGAGCACTTTCATTACTTCTAAGTACTAGTCAGAAGAAATTACTTGTCTTTTGGTTGCCAAAAGTTGTGCAAATGCTCCAACATTAAAACAACCTTACTAAAATCTAACATCATGAAAAGGTATGGTTGGGAAATTTTAAGGGTTCTGAGGTATTATTTTACCGCAGTGATGTTGATGATACATGTGGTCTTTTTTTTTTGGTAAATGATGCGCTATTAATTTTTCAACTATGCAAACTCCAGGTCCCCCAACATCAAGTGTTTTATGGAAAAAGAAATAGATCATAAAACAACATTCCTAGATGCTTTAATCAACAACGATACCCATTTTCCTAATACTAGTGTTTACTGCAGGAGAAGCCTCATGGGCCTATCGACTAATTACTTTAGTTTTACATTTTATTCTTATAAACTGGGTCTTTTTCGCACTCTTGTTCATAGAGTTTACAAGATCAGCAACACTTGGTAGGGTTTTCACGAAGATATCAAGAAACTTACTGAAATCCTTCAAAAGAAACGTTTTCCCGCCAATCTAGCTGAAAGGGTTGTTAATCGGTACCTCACATTGACCCGTTATGACTGTAATCCCCGGGTCTCCGTCTCAGACACTGCACCGACTTATTACTTCAAAGTACCTTACATTGGCCCTTTTTCTGTTGTCATGCAAAAAAGAGCTTGATGTGAAGTTTATATGAAATAATTCATATATGAATTGCGGTAGTAGATGAAATTGAAGGATGATCATCGCAGTAAATTTTCCAATTTAAGCAATTGGAAAGAAGAAGCCTGAAAAAATCAGGACTTCAACGGGATTCGAACCCGTGACC